GAAGGAGCTTCTGCTCTTGGGATCCTGAACTTCTTCCATGTAAGGAGGGGTAGCTGGAGAAAAGCACGTTAGAGAAAAGTCACAGATACACCCGTTGGGGCAGTGTTCTCTAGTGGTCTTAGTCCTTCCTGTTAGGACACGTCCAGAAAGTCATGCTGGATGGAGATAGTTCAACAGCCAGGAAAGTGACTTCTGCTGTCCTTCAATGGGGTCTCTTGCCTCCAGAGGCTGCTAGGGAAGGTCACCCAGAGTTATGGAGTTTGGTGCCATTCTAGGTTGGTGACACTTAACTCTAGTGCTGCCTGTGCTTTATCTCCATGGAAGCACTCAGTATCCTTGAACCCAGCCTTATGTTAAGAGTTTGGGATTTTCTTTTCAATGAGATCTCCATGTATCCATCCTAATTTGGAGCTGATTTTATAATTCCTTGTAACTGAAGTGAAACTTCATTTGCCACCTGTTCTAGATACATTTTTTTGCATGAGAGCTGGCTAAGAGGCAGGAAAGGGACAGCCTGGGATAGCACCATTGGCACAGAGAGAGAAAATTGTAGAGTGGGTAGAAGTTTTAGTTTCCTTGACACTTTCTGTGTTGTCTTTCCATATTGATACAATGAGAGCCATTAATTTTTGACATTTCTTGGTTTAAATAAAACAATTGTGCTGTTAGTTGGTGGCAGCTCCCATAATGCGATGGGTGGTGTGACCTGATTTCTTGCCACAACCACCCAGAAGTTGGTTTAGGGCAGTGGTGGCGAAACTTTTAGAGACCGAGTGCCCAAACTGCAACCTGAAACCCACTTATACATCGCCGGGTGCTGGGGGCGTGGCCACTGAATGGGCATGACCAAGTGGGTGTGGCCACCAAATGGGTGTGGCCAAGTGGGTGTGGTCACTGAATGGGTGTGGCCAAGTGGGCATGGCCACCGAATGGGCGTGGCCAAGTGGGCATGGCCACCGAATGGGCATGGCCAAGTGGGCGTGGCCACCTCGATGTTGCTCCTGAGGAGAGATGCCTGTGGGGGCCGGGAAGGATTGGGGGCGATCCAGGGGTTCTCTGGCGGGTGAGGCAGTGGGTAGGAGGCTGCAGGGTGAAGTAAGGCAAGGGACGGGGCAGGGCAGGGGTGCCATTGCCGTGGGGCAAGGCAAGGTGAGGCAGGGGCTAAGGCAGGTTGCAGACAAATGGGGGCTCCGGTGAGGAGGAGGAGGTGGAAGATGGTTTAAGCAAGCTTAGCAACCAGAGTGGGGATCCCCCCCCACAAAACAAACGTGCTTCGTGGGTAACCTCAAAGCACAACAGAAGAGACCAAACCTGCTGCAACCACCCAGCAGATGGGAGGGGAATAAAAACCAAACAGCCCCCCCACCAATCCTCAATGAAAGCCTCAGAGAGGGGGAAGAGTGCGGACAGGCGGGTGTCTTGCTCAGATGATGGCTTGGAGGAGAAGGGCAGCTACACCCTGTCCCAAATACTGTCCTCTCATGAAAACAGGATGAAAACTCCAAAAGCCGACAAGGAAAAAAAGTTAAAACAGAAGAGTGTCTCATGATGGTTTTCTTCCCCACTTCCTTCTAGCTGCAGGCTAAATATGTAAAGACCACAAAAGAAAAAACTTGTCTTTCTCTCGTTTTAATTCAGAAGGAAGGAACGGGAGGATTGGGGGGGGGGTTGTTTGTTTCAAAGGAAGGGAAAGAGGGGCTGGGGGAGCATGGCAGGAGAACGGTGATGGCGCAAGCCTTCTGGCTATGCAGGGGGGCATTGGGGTGCGTTCTTTTTAAAAGAGTAAAACGAGGCAAAAATTAAAAATCCCCCACTCACTCCACCTCCCAAAAACACAACAACAGAGCTTTCAATGATACAAACAAGCTTTTATTGAAAAGTAAAAGTTTGCATTTGGCATGCTTTTAAAGAATTAATGTGATTTCTGCTGTTGTATGCCTGCTGATAATTTATCTACCCTTGGCTCATAGTTTGTAAGTTTGAGAGCAACATATGCAGCACTCAGGTCATCTGTTAATCTGCTTCTGGTGTCAGATTTGATATCATTCAAAGCTGAAAACAGATGCTCACAAGCGTAAGATGATCCAAACAAAGTAAGGAAAGCAATTCCAAGTGCTTTCATGGATTCAAAATTATCTGGCAGAGAATTCCACACTTTGAGGATTTCCTTATCAGAACTAACTGTGCTGTCCTTTGTCATCCCTTTCATCTTCTCTAGTGTTTCATGCAGGTTTCTAGATAGTATTTTCCTGAAATCCCAGTAGCTCCATTTCCAGATTTCCTCAATCTAACCACTCTAAGGAGGAAAGATCAAGTTCTTCAAATTTGGCTTTATCTGGAGAAGTAAGAAAACACAGGGTTGTCTCCATCTTACGGAACTGTGAAAATCTGTTACTAACATTTACCTTTGCAGCTGCTACAATGCTAGAAAATTCCTTGTAGATTTCCTGATGGCTTGTAGGATTGTCTGCAAATGTAGAATTTTCTAAATGAACTTTTAGACTAGGAAAATATTTCAGCTTCCCACTTTCAAGGTCTCTTTCAAAAACCTGCAGTTTTCTCTCAAATGTTTGGATGTCACAAAACATCCTTTCTGCTGTTTTCCCTGGACCTTGTAATTGTTTGTTGAGCAGACTGAAGTGGTGTGTAAAGTCTGTAAAAAACATGAGGTTGGTAAGCCAGGCCATATCAATGAGCTGTGGATATTTTTGCCCTTTTTCATGCATAAACAGCCGAATTTCATCCAAGCAGGCCACAAATCTATCCAGGACTCGTCTTCTGCTCAGCCACCGGACATTATTATATATAAATGAACAATCATACTGTGCCTGAACCTCCTCAAGTAGTACTCGAAACTGCCAACAATTCAGAGCATGAGCCATGATGTAATTCACTATTTTTGTGACATCTTTGAGGACATTGTCAAATTTTTTGTTCCTTTCCTTGGCACAAAGAGCTTCCTGGTGAATGATGAATTACTTTATGTTTTGTTTCTTGAAGAAACAACTGTATGAAACCATATGTTGCCCACACCATAGAAGGTGCTCCATCACTTGTAATTGAAACCACCTTTTCTGGTCTTATGTCTTGTGACAAAAAAGCTTCCTTCATAACATTGTAGATATCTACACCTTGTGTTCTTTCAGGCAAAGACATCAGTTTCAGCAGCTCCTCTCTCATGATGTCACCAACAGCATAACGCAAAATTACTGACAGCCTTGCATGGTTATTGATATCTGTGCTTTCGTCCAAGCACATGGAGTAACAGGCTGCCTTTTGTAAGTCAGTGGTGAGCTGCTGATTAACATCACTTGCCATGCACTGGACTCGATCTTTAACGGTGTTTCTGCTCAGTGGTATCTCAGAGATGCGTTGAATAATTTTATCCTTGCTTGGGAAATCATGAAAAAGAGAATCACTTCCAGACAACATGGCCGTTTTGATAATATCCCCATCAGAGAGGGGCTTACCATGTTTTGCTATGCACAGTGAAATTTTAAAACTGGCAGCTGTCAGATGATTCATTCTGGAAAGATAGTTGGAAAAACTAAGGTGCTGGGAATGATAGCTCCTCAATTTCCCTTCAAGAAACTCTTTCCTTTCATTATCACCAAGTTGGGCAACATTTCTGTGGTTGGTTTCAAAGTGCCGTCTGACACTTGATGTGCGACACACAACACTTTCGTTGCATAGAACACATAATGCTTTCCCACTGCGTTCAATCACTCCAAATGACCATGTCCTGGCCTCTTGGAATAATCTTCCACTATCTGTTTTTGTTTTTTTGGCTGTTGTCATTTTTGGGTGGATGTACAAGACCTGGAGTCTAAAAAAACACAAAATTTAAAAAAAATGAAGCAACCAGTACAAATCTATCTCTAAATAACTAACACTATTAATTAACACTAAAGAAATGGATATTCCCTGAATCAACAATCTAGGAAGGGGGAATTAAACAATGAAAGCAGTGTCTTGGATTTTACAGGTTGTTGGAAAAGTACTCGTTCGTTTTACCAGATACTGAAAATAGCAGAGAAATCTGAAGCAGAATGCCTGTATTAGTAGATGCAACTGAAATAAAATCTGGACAAAGAATGGTCAATAAAGCATTCTTGGTAGTCTGTTTTATCTTTCCTAAAAAGCTGTAACCAATTTCCTCACCTAACTTTGCAAACCCTGTGGGTCCCACGCCATTCCATATACCTGCAAGAAAGCAGCTGCAATCCAGGTACTCTAAAAGGGCTTTTCCAGTCGCCTAGCAAGGTGTCAAAAACTTGATGACCCCCCCCAAAAAGGAAAAAAGGGATAAAGTACAGTAGTCCTCACCTTACAACAGTTCACTTAGTGATGGTTTGAAGTGACAACGGCACTTAAAAATGTGACTTAAGACCATTTTTCACACTCTGGCGCATGCACGCCCACCCCTTGCTGCTGCCACGAGGCTGGGCAGCCGGTGAGTGTGAATGCAGCCTCGTTGGGGCCTGCTGAGGCCAGCAGCCAGCTGAGGCAGCTTCAGACACCAGGCCGCCCCCCCTACTATTGCCACCACTTACCAGGCTGGGCAGCCGGCTGAGGCAAAAAAGACAGCCCCGGCTGCCATTAATGCTGTGCTGCCACTGCATGTATTTTAATGCATGTTTACCCTGCCTTTAAATGTGGGGCCAAGATTTATAGAATGTTAGTAAATAATAAATAAAAACAGGCTGCTTTCATTTGAACCATAGATTATAGTGGGGATCTGGAGGGATTTTCTTTCAGTGAAGATGAAAGAAAATATATAAAAGAGAGGGAATAAAAAGCAAAACAGAAAGGAATAAGAAGAGTGAGAAATGGCATGGAGGTTATAGGTTTCCTGGATCAGAAATAAATAAACAGAAGAATTAAATCAGTTTTAAGAGAATAAATGGCAATGAATGGAAGAATCAAACCAGTTTTAAGGGAATAAAAGGAAATAAATGGAAGTATTAAACCAGTTTAAATGATAAATGGAAGAATCAAACCTGGGCGGTGGCGTGCAGAGCAGGCCAGGAGTGAGAGTCCACCGGCGGCTTCTGCCCGTCGGGCTGAGCAGGCGGCACACTCGGTTTCCCAATGTGCGCCATGTGGGCTATGCGAGGCAGGGCGTGAGGTGACGCAAGATGCCGGCACTGGGCGCTGCAAGATGCTGGCGCTGGGCGCCACAAGATGGCGATACCAGCAGGGTGTTCCGGGGCTGCTGTGCTGGGCTTGTCCACTGTGGCTGTGGCCAACCCATGCAAGTTCGGTGAGATCGCTCTGCAGAAGCAGTGGCAGGCCGAGGAGATGGTGCCGTGCAGGCTGCGCGAGGTGGGGCATGAGGTGACACAAGATGCCGGCGCCGGGTGCCGCAAGATGGCAGTGCCAGCAGAGTGTTCCAGGGCCGCTGCACCGGGCTCTTCATTCTCAGCTTCATCTCCCTCGGCAGCCGCCGCCTCATCTGCTATGGCTGCAGCAGCGCCCAACACACGCAAGTTCAGCAAGAAGATCATACTGCAGAAGCAG